ATATCTTATAAAAAATAATTCAATAAAACTCAAAAAATATTTTTTTTTTGACAATTGGTGCTTGCATGATATAATAAAACGTTATCTTCTTTCAGAGTGGACAGAAAAAAATCTCCACTTAATATTTATTTTTTAAAAAAATTACCGTTGTTGTTCGTCACAAGAGCTTATTTTATTAAATAACATTTTTGAAGATTCAAAAAATGTCACCCGGTTCACTTAGTCGGGTATGGCGGACTTACCTTGGACATCTTAACTGCTATCAACAGTCCTCCTACATGGAAGAAGCCACTCATTTCATTGGCCATATATATCTTATATAATATATTTATATTATTACATATTTTATCAATAATTGGCTGACGGCAAAATTATCAAATTTTAAATCTAAATTGCATTTCCATTTAAAATATTGCATTTACTAGAAAATATATTTAGTTTAAAATTAGAGAATCATAAAAATAGTTTGGCGTCTCTTTTTCTTGTTACTTTGGGGTTGTTGCTAGACAGGAGAAATTATTTCTCGCGACACAAATATCCATTTTAATTTTCATTTAAATTGTGCATGTATATCTGTCTATATTTCTGAAATGAGGTATTATGTACACTATTTACATTATTCGGACTATTGTCGTCATCTTTGTCGCCATATTTATTACAACGTTTCGGCCGTTGTACGCGCCGACCTTCTTCAGGACACATGGTACAGTGGATAAACGCGTTAGTTAGATCCAGTGACAGGAACCAAAAGGTGTGAGTTCAATACCCGGTTAATGCAGTGGAGAACTTTCAGAGGGAAATTAAGGGTGCAGTTCGACATTCCAACCACCTGAAGAAAGCCGTAGCGTACAACGGCCGAAACGTTGTAATAAATATGGCGACAAAGATGAGGGCAATAGTCCGAATAATGTAAATAATGTAGATATTTCATGCTCTCTCTATAGACTCTCATACCTCTTATTCCCTAAACTTGCTTAGTTTGGCACAAGGCATATTGTTTCTAACTGGTTATCCATTTTAGTACTGATCAGGGTTGACCGAGCTTAACTTCATTGATCAAACAATATGGTATTCCTAAATGGTCAATGATGTAAATACTGATCAGTTTCGACGATGATTAACATCGATGAGCAGACAACATCGCGTTTCCAACTAGTCACACGCATGACTGATTATGTTCGATGTTGCTTAACTTCGATGAGCCTATAGGAAATAAACCCTATTTCCAATACCCATATACACACCACATGAAAACACAGCCAAACTTTATTTTCTACCCAATAACAGGCAATATTGCAAACATACCCAAAAGATTCCACAATACAACACATACCGTTTAAATCAAAGTGTCTCTTGGTCAGAAATTAATATCGCCATGCGAAAGATTTGACCAATCAGAAAAAAATTAAAACCTTATTTTTCGCGAGACTCACAGATTTCGACTTTTAAAGAGCAGAGATGCGGCTGTCTTCGAGCCGTTCGGACGTAGCTTTTTCTACCCCCAGTATGTGCCGAATGAAACATATGTCGGTGATTTCAAACGAATCATCTCCAACAAGAAAGGCAGTCAGTGAATCTTCGCTAACAATAAACCATTTTTCAGTCACAGCTTTTTTATTCTGTGGACCAACTATTTAAAAGTTTTTTTCTAAACGACAGTTTTTTTTCTGTTCACCAACTACCCAAAGACATTATATCAACTAAAGACTATTTTTTACTCCTTTTTTTTTTTTTTAACTCTTTTGAATTCATGTAAATATGTTTGTCAATTCAAATGATTTATTTAATGTTTTCTTTATTTTTATTTTATTATTATTTAGAATTAAGACATTTCATATAAAAAAAAATCTACACGACTGAATTTTCTACAAGTAGACAACATCGTGCTTCTAATAGATCACTCATGTTAATACTGATCATGTCCGATGTTGTTTAACTTCAGACAATACCTGTGTTTTCAGTGTAACTTTGGCACCAGCAATGGTATTAAGATTAGCTTGTGTCAAAAATGTAGGACGCTTAATGAGAATCAGCTCTAGTACTGCAGTTGCATTTGCTAACCACTGCTCAGTTTGAGGCTATACTTATTCATTAACATTATGCTTTCAACATCTTTCTTTGTTTTTTTTCTTTTTTTAAATAATATCAGTCTATAAATGGATTGTTAAAGATTTTTTATTTACTCATATCTGTTTACTGGGTTTGTCGTGATTGTAGCCTGAACGCAGACCGAACATGTATTTATTGTTATAAAAAACGGTCGAAGTAAGATGTCTGTGTTTGTCTCCAGTGCTGTAGCCCTCGTCTTTTATACTGTGTCAGTTAGATTTTTGCCAAGAGGGTTATTTCTAACAACCAACGTGATAACAATGATTCAATCCATCCTCCTGAATAGCGTTCCCTTTATTTGTCGTTTGTTCTTAATGCTCTCCTCTCTTTCTCTCGCTCTCAGCATGAAATACTGATTCCTTCTACGCTGCATGGGTTAAACTGCAAGCAAGACGCACTTAAAGCCTGGTGATCATCTCGCCCAGTCCTTTTACCGACAACTCCATCAAAGTCCTTTGCACAAGTTGCCTTTCCTCAAGTGGCAATCGTAGATACAGAATAAACGATTTCATTTGCCTCGAAATGAAACTGCTTGAGAATGTTTCGAAAAACGTGTACCACGTGTTTTTTCCTCGGCTGATTTCTTTGGCGGGAAATTCGTTAGTAAACTCTGAAAAGAGAGAGACAACAAATTCATTACATTGAGTGACGTCAATTCTGTTATGCTTCATTTTTTTTTTTTTTTTTTTTTAGGAATGGAGCAATACTACTGCCCAAAAGAAAGTTTCTCCTGCTCAAGGCAACCTTTTGGATGGAGCGGTCTGAGGACAAGACAATTTATTAAAGTACGATATCATGGTTCTCCTCCGAGACACTGCATAGCTGTCAGGCCCGCTCTCTCCAAAAGGTTGCCGACCCCAGGGACTTTAGACCACGAAGTTTTAATAAAATGTAATTGACCATAGAACTATGTAAAACCTACACAAAGAGATTCAAAATGAGAAATGCTATTATTTTTGGAGTGAGTTTACCGTGGCAGAATTGAAGTAATAAAAAGGAAAACGAACAAATACTAATTTTGGTTCTCAAATAATAACAGGTAAAAAAAAAAAATCAATAAAAATATTTCCTTATATATCTTAAGCGCGCCAAACAAACTGATGTTTGTTTTTTTTATATCTGTTATTAAATCTTTCTTTCGTTTTATAGCAACTGCTATATTAAGCTGTAAATAGCCAATTACTATATAAATCTGTGTATAGTCTACTACAATATTAAAGGAATTCACTGCTATATAACCTGGCAATTCAAAAGAAAGAATTCAGCCAATAGAAATCACTGACAGGGGACAATAGATTTTACCGACTTGATGAAAAACATTAACTTATATATGATTTAGAATAATCGAGCTGTGATCTCCTTCTCTCTGATTCCTCCAATCTGGGATCAGCTCTGTCAGGCAGAACCGGTATAAAACTGAAGCAAATGTGCCTAGCTCTTAGAGATTCCAAATATGAAACAACACCTACCCATCGTTCCAAAGAGGTTTTGTGAATCGTCCTGATGCCTTTACCACAGAGGCTGTATAAATATTGCCCTTAGCCGTACCGTAAATATATGTGACTTTATATTAAACCAACCTCATGGTACATTTGCCTTAGTGTGGAAGCAATAATACGATAAATTTTCATGGATGTAAGGAAGAAAGGTTACAAGAAATCTTTTTGAGAAGGATAAAGTGAATACAGAATGAAAGAGAGCCTAATTTAACTCATATCTTCCCGGCGTCAGTTTAAACTGACACATATTTTTCATATATTTTGACTATTTTCCTTGAAACTAGTATTTTCTTGATTTCAGATGAAAGCATGGAAATTTTATAACATATTTCAGTTAATTTTAAATTTCCAAGATTACAGTTTTTTTATTTTTATTTTTTTAATAAAAAGGGTGCCAGTTTAAACTGACGCCTAAAAGGTATGGATTAAATGCGATATACAAAAGCATTTCATAAGGTACGTTAAAAAGATCTATTTGAACTACTAGGAAAACTCGTTTTGTTTGGCAAAGATATTAGAGCAATCTAAAACTTATGTTGGAATCAAACCGCCTGTACCTGGATAAAATAATGATTTAAGTACACAAAAACAGGAATGGACGTTAAAAAAAGAATGTCTCTTTCTCACTGGATTTATTCAACCTTTACAGTGAGACAATCCGAAGAGAACTAGAAATCCTGTTAGGAATTATTATTGGTGAACACAGTCTTAACATCCTAAGATGTCATACCGTGTTGGTGGAAAACATAGAAAGAAAACTGCAGGAACTCCTAGACAAGGTAGTAAAGGAAAGCGTGAAAAAAGGACTAACCATCAATTGTAAGAAGAAAAGATGTATGGCTGTAAGCAAGAGAAACAGTCTAAGATGCTAGCTAGGAATCGGATATATCAAAATCAATCAAGTGCAGAAGTTTTAAGTGCTTTAACAGTTGACTGAAAATGTGTTACCGATATCCGAATGTGGAGTAGAAGAGCAAAAGATGCATTCGAAAAGTTAAACAAAGTATTAAGAAATAGGAAAATTTAATTTCAAAGTGCAGAACTTGTACACGGTCTTAGTTATCCTATATGACAGTGAATGCTGTACATTTTCTTCACAGATGATGAGATTTGATTATGTAACTGATTGATTTTTTTTACAGCTTATCAACTTTTTGCAGGTAACTGAAAGCCAGAAATATTTTTGGATTGTAAGATTTTTTTAGAGATAATAAGGATTTACTGATAAACGTCCTACTATTTAATCCATAGCTGGAAGAGAAGAGGTGGATTCATGCTTTTCCCAAGGGTATTGCGCGTAAGTGAATATAACGAATCCGAATAAAATTCGAACTCGGCTCTCGGATTTCCAATTCCGAGCCGTTATCGATTACACCACCCGCACGTCCAAGCTCACAGCATCTGATATTCCCAAGTGGTCACTCATCTAGGTACTGACCAAGCTTGACATTGCTGAACTTCGGTGATTGTACGAGAACAGGTGTTTTAATCTGATAGTGGCGGAAACTTGAGGCAACAGAGTTGTGATTCTACAAAAGGACGCTGAGAAATACCATGGACGGAACATGTAAGCAACGAGGAAGTTTTAGAGAAAATGAAAACAAAAAGGAAATTTATACTTAGAATCAAAAAGTGATAGTTGAAATTCCAAGGACAAATAATGAAGAAAGAAGGTCTGGAAAACTTGATGCTCACAGGACATATTAAAGACAAGAGGGAAGCATCGAGTAACCTACCTACCGAGCTTGTGTAAATGAATGGCGGGATAGTAAAAAGACAAAACTTACTAAGCGCTGCAAAGTATAAGAAAACAGTAGAGAGCCATGATCACCTACATTCTGATGGGACATGGCGCACAGAAGAACTATAGATTAAAAATAAATACTTTTAAGACAGTCATCTTATTAATAGTGATACAAAGAACTCATCCAATTGTAAAATGTCTACAGTAAATTAATAATAAAATTCGGAAAATAAAACAAAATTATTAATACTTAATAGAGATTTCTGGCATAATCACAATTATTTCATTTAACTTTAAAATAATTCAGATTGTTTTAAATAACTGAAAACAAATTTAATGAAATATTAATTTGATTGCTTTAAAAATAATGTATAAACTGTATATCAGATGTCAGATAAAGCGTCTTACTTACCTGATTCTCTCTGTAATTGTTATTATAAGCAAACGACAGTTGGCGTTCTCCGTGTAACGGGGGTATTTTGCCTGTACATCCAAGCGTTTCATATCCCTCTTGAGATACTGCAAACTGCCTGGCTAGCAGTCCCGCCCTTCTGTCAACGATCAACGTCCCCCGCTGGGCTATATCAGCCGTACAATGCGAAATGGGTACAAACATTTGGCTGAAATTTTTGTCACGATTGGACAGTTCTAAACGATAACGTTGGAGTTCTTTTTTCAAGAGGTTTAATTCAAAATCTTTATTGTTGTTGCTGGAATCCTGAGATGTAAAAGAAAACCGCTGATAGAATTATAATACAATCTAACAGGAATAAACGCAATGTATTTTAGATTTGGGATTAAAATAAAATCTGTATTTAATTATCACCAGCTGATTAAAGAACGAAATGGAAAAAGATTTATAAATATTTTGTTTGAATTTGATCCTAACATTACGTTTCATTTAAGCTGACCCGCACATTACCTTTGTTTTAATTTGATCCTAACATTACATCTTTTAACTTATTCCTTTGTTTTAATTTGATTCTAAAATTACATTTGCTTTAAGCTGATCTTAATATTACATTTTCTAATTTGATCCCAACATTATCTTTTTTTTTTTACTCTGGTCCTAACATCACCTTTGTTATAACTTCATCTTAACATTATTATTTTTTTTTATTTTGATCCTAGCATTACCCTTGTTTTGACTTGATCCTCTCATTGCGTTTGTTTTAGCCTAATCCTTACATTACTTTTAACTTGATCCTAACATTACATTTGTTTTGTCTTGTTATTAGCATTACATTTTTTAATTTGATTCTAATATTACTTTTGTTTTAACTAGATGCTGACATTATCTTTAACTTGATCCTAGCATTACCTTGTTTTGACTTGATCCTCTAATTGCGTTTGTTTTAGCCTAATCCTTACATTGTTTTTAACTTGATCCTAACATTACATTTGTTTTAGCTTGATCTTTTTTTCTCAAATGATACACCTCGGAAAACTAAATTTACCCATTAACTTATATCGAAATATATTCAACAGAAAATATAGATTTGATCATTTGATTGCTTCCGGATATGAAAGATTATTCTTTTTAGTTATCTGATGCATATGGCACAATATCAAATCAGAGAAAGAAGATTTTTTGTGCAACAGTTTCGTAAGTAATGCACGCTTACCTATCTCAAAAATTAGTATTCGAAATCTTGGATTTTATTGATTTATTGATTTTTAACTTTTTCGAACGCCGACCTCTGGCACCGTTGGAAAAGACGTAAGTACCTCAGTGTTCGAGAAGACTTGGTAGAGGCAAAATGATTAAATAAAAATAAGGTCATTCAATTGGTCTAGTTTGGATCAAGTAAAATGCAAACTTCAGAAAAATTTAAGGAAAAACATTAGAAACACTAGAACAATATTTAGAGGTATGTCCAGAAGGTGCCCAATCATTTTAAATATCACGAATTTCTTGCGACCTTGATATATCTTGAGAACCAATCAGAGACGACAATGCGTGGTCTTAGATTCAGGTTATTCAATTGGCAATAACATTCCATTGAGTGAGTGCTTGTATCACGAGAACGCCACATTTGCAATGTCCAAACGAGTAGATTCTTCATAGCTGATGCAGCCCGTTTTTTTTTCTTTTGAAGAAGACGTCGCATCACCCAAGCGTGTCAATGCTCTCTCAATGCTGTCCGGATTTAGGTCAGTGCTACTTTTGCCTGTGCCAAAGCTAATAATCACCTTTAAGACTTTGAGAAGGTGGTAATGTCAAACGCAACAAAGCCGTTAAAGGCAATCCAGAGAGAGGAATTTTCAATCCAGGAAAAGTGTGGGAGATTTCAAGAGGAGAACTTTGAAGAGGATTAAGGCATCATTTTTTGTCAGTATTAAATAACTGGATATTTTCTGCACATACTGTGCATCAATCCGTTTATCTATGTATTTTTGCAAGTAAATTTCCCGGGAGTTTGCTTGATAAATGGATCACAATTAGACTAACTGGATGGTCTTATTATTTTCTTAAAATCATTTCTTTTAGGCATTGAACAGAAACCATTACCGAATTGTTTTTTTTCTTTACAATATCAGTGTCCTAGGGATTGTGAATAATTTCTTAGACAATCTCTTGAAATCTTAACATGTTCAAAGAATCACATAAAATAAAATTAATGCGAAAAAAAAGTAACTTTTTAATAACAATATTTTTATTCTTGGGATTTTCATCAAACATACTCATCTATATATACAGGGTTTATTGAAAATACTTTTACAAACATTGGGGGCAGGGTCCTCATACCAAAACAAGGACAAAAGTCTATATAAACATATGTCCGCAGATCCTTCGTTTTACAGTTATTAACTTTAAAGAAAGTTTACGGTAGATGGTGCTGTGTTGTTATGTAGACTAGGTTATATTTGTCATTCGTGTACATTTGTGGCTCGTACGTTTTCAACGTTTAACGTGTGTAATAGTGAGCTAACTGAGAAGTATTCCGTTTAACAATGGCAGGATATTAATATCATGAGCAGGCAGATATGATTTTTACATACGGCCGCACGAATGGTAATGGATGACTGTATCAGATTGCGTTTCTAAACCGAAAACAGATGAATCATCCAACCTTTGCTGCTTCTGTTTATCATCGCGTTGCCTGACAGGATGCATGGCACCACAAACTGTGGATTGAGGAAGACCCAGATCCGTTCGTACATCTGACCACGAAGAACACATTCTACAGGCTGTCAGAGACGATCTATGTATCAGCACACGTCAAGTAGCCCTGTATCCGTATCATTTGCAAAGTGTGCAGCCTCTTTCGCCCTTTGAGCACTCACCACAGGAGAACTTTTGCTGATGTTTTCTTGCACAAACTGCCGATCTGTTGTTTGTCTCTTCTATCTTGTCTACGGATGAGGCAATATTATTTTTTTAATTGTAACTTTGACTGTACATTTAACAGCGCTTACCGTAAACTTTAAACTTAATAATCCAAAAACATTTGCGGACATATGTTTATATGGAATTTTGTCCTTTTTTGATGTGAGGAATCCGTTTCCAAAGTTTGTAAAGGTATTTTTGATACCTCCTATATATATATATATATATATATATATATATATATATATAAAATACTAAACTTGGCTTAATCTGACACATGATACTGGGGGAGATTGTGTTGTACTATGCTTTGACAATCAGCATTCGAAATCTTGGCAGTTATCTGGACTTGAACTGTGCGTAGTGGCGGTACGAGATGTGAAGTGAGGTAGGTTGGAATTAAGGGAGAAGCAATCGCTGTGACTACTCCCAAGGAAGGTGGGTAGTTCTCCAAATTTGAAGAGTTGATTACAAAAGCTGAAATAGAGAACAAAGAAAATCTTTATCTGAATTAATGAAAATTGGGGAATCGCTGAATCCCCAGAATCCTTCGGCCCCATGCTACTTGGACTGAGAGTCCCGCACTGAGTGTCTATGAAATCCATGTTAGCTGCCACCAGATTCCCTGATTTCAAGACATTGAACCCAGCTCATCCAGAAGTTTAGCCAAGGCCCAGTGTCTCTGTAGAGATTGATGCTGAAAGGGTTAATTTTTGTTTTATCCAATACAAATCAATTGATGATTAACCCCACGAAACTCTCGTTTTATTTTTCGTCGTGGAGATATTTTTTCCTTAATAAAGCACTCACCACGGCTTGAACCAATGCTGCGAGACTACGACCTTCGATTTTCCATTGTTCTGAGATGAAGAATACAGCGTAGGCATAATTGGTGTGAATCGAAACGGCCAGCGACCAACAACCAGCTTGCATCAGCGTCAGCATTGACCAGCGCAGAGTTAGCCCCTTGATTAAAACATCGTCCTTAGACCCTGAGGACCGAACCACTAAACGTGATTACACCAACGGTGTAGGCGGCGGCCAAACGCGTTATATTAATTGGTGACTGTAAGTAAGGATGTGATGCTATTGTCATGAGGTGTTATAACATTCTGAACTACCCGTGTTCCTTAAGCGATCTCTCATTGAAAAGACTACAGTGGATATTGATGTTCGTTTCATCAATCCATATGAAAGTAGCATTCTCACCAGAGAAATCCATATATGCTCTTGTGAATTCGCAGTATTTCTCTTTATCTGTTGCCGAATTGGCGATTTGTTGTTCAAACCTAATCACTGTTCAATGATTTACTCATAATTTATGGTCACAGATCGACATCAAACGAAGAATTAATTAAATTCTCTAATTTGTTTAATCATTTCATCCCAAGCAAGGCGATAATACCACAAGGACA